TTGTTGGTATGTGGTGCTGAGGATCGAACCCGGGCTGCACGCATGCCAGGCGAGCGCCCTGCCGCTTGAGCCACATCCCCAGCCCAAATGTTATAATTTCATTCTTCTTTATGACTGAGTAATATTCCATTGTATATATATGCCACATTTTCTTTATTCATTCATGATGGCAATGTCTTGATGGAACAAGAGTGATTTAACAGTTGGAGAAATATTGATATTGAAATTACAATTGCCAGGTTTACTCCCTGATAAGTAAGACCATGGGTTCAGGAAGCCAGCTATTTGGTTCAAATTTTTGCCTTGTCAGTACTAGCTGTGTGTCCTTGGTCAAGTTATTTAACCTCTCTGGGCCTCATTTCCTTGTGTGTAACACTGAGGCTAATAATAGTACTCATTTCCATAGAGTTTTTGTGAGCCTTAAATCAGATGGCAATGTAAAGCACTTAGCCTGGTGGCCAACACATTGTAACCAGCCAGTTAATGTTCAGAAAGAAAGGAGATGGGCCAGATGACCCTGGAAGCTGCTCAACTCGGGAGCTCCTCATTTGAAGGTGCTTGTGGTGGGAATGTCTTAGACCCAGGCCGCAGTCATTTCTGGTTCTGGTTCTTCCCTTGACAGGTTGTGGGCTCGATGTAAGTCACTTAATGTCTCTGTGAGATGAGCTGCGACATCAGGAGGAGGAGGAGGAGAGCAGGTATGGGGTGCCAGGCCCTGGGCCGAATGCTCTGTGCAGTGCGTCTGGCCCAGTCCTCCTGAGCACAGGATCTGTCAGTGTCCCAGCGATTCACGTGGGAAAAGCTCAGCACTTTAATTACTTGTCCAGGGTCATTCAGCTAGCAGACATGAACTTGGCCTTCTCTGTCTGTCGCCTGTGATTCCGTGTGTCAGTTGTTAATAGTTTCATAGGCTAGCTACCTGCCTTTGATTTAATTTTCTGATCACAATTATATTTGGCCAGTGCTTCATGGATTTAAGAAAAATACTTGGGAGTAAGCCTGTGATTTGAGGCTAACTTGTAGTTAACATGCATTTGTGGAATGTGTAGGCATTTCTGTGGTAGTTAAAGGGTCCTCCTCACCCACCTTTATTAAATAAAGTCTTATCTGAGGTGCTTTGAACTTGTGCAAAACAAAGCCGAGTGTAAACACTACAGTGTAGAGTTTGGCTCTGCAGAGCTCTTGAATGAGACCCTCTCAGTCAAGTGTTTGGGTGGAAGAACAGGCATATTCTGCAGCTAGAACCCACAGCAGGCTGTAGGCGCTCTCGAGCACACCCGTGAGTGGTGTTGAGGTGTTGCAGAACGCTGGTGATTGCCATAATTGATTGTCAAGGTTGAGGTCTGCAGACTGGAATCACGAATCTTAGGCTGGTATTGGCTCTGTCACCTCCGCCTGCTTTCCCAAGCCCACTTTCAGCTCTAGGATGGTGTCAGTGGTTTTTCCATGTTAGTGTTGTTGGGGAGACTGACCCAAATATAGACTTTGGTCAGTGACTTGGCAAGGGCGGTCTTTGGCTCTACTTTGTTGACCTTGAGCTATACAGTGTTCTGACTTTCACATTTGGGGGAAAGGTGATGTAGTGACAAGCAGATGGGCAGCTGCTTAGACCACCTATTTCTTTTTTCTCTTTGTTTTGTACCAGTAATTGAACTCAGGGGTGCTTAACTGAACACCTCCCAGCCCTTTTATACACAGACAGACACACACACGCACATGCACACACTTGCCAGCTTTGAACTTGCAGTCCTCCTGCCTCAGCCTCCCAAGCCACTGGGATTACAAGCATGTGCCACTATGCCTGGCCAATCTACTTTTTTTTAGGGGATTAAGGTCTGATATCAAAAGGTATTCAAGGGAAATAGTGTGTGTGCAGCTCCGTGGGGTTCTTGGGCAGTAGTCACTAGCTAGGGCATGCTAGAGGACTCAAGTTCTCCTGCCTGTGGAAGTGACCGCGATGCAGGCATCCCTGTGTTGTGATATTACTTACTGTGGAAGTGTTGAGGGCCAGTCCTGCTCTCTGACCCCAGAGTCAGAATGTGAATCAGCAGAATTTGGAGCTGGAGTTCTCCATCTAATCGTCTGTGTATTTTTTAACCACTAAGATTTATATTTAGTGACTAATAGTCTTGTGCTAGAAGTGCCATCTCCCACACAAGTCCCCAAAGAAAACTGGCTCTGAGTCAGGACTTTGACTTTGAAATCAATTTTTTTCTTCCCCCTTTTCCATCAGGATTTGCTGTCTGGCGCCCATGGCTGTCTTTAGTGGGCTCTGGGGCCCCGTCACCAGTGCAAGCAGAGCCTTCAGCCAGCGCTGTTTCAGGTAACTTTCCGCATTAAGTTCTCAAAACTGTGCCTTTGAGTAAACCTCTCATCAGGGCTGGTTAGTATGGAAACTAGATTGGGAGGAGAAATTCAGGGAAGTGTCTTGGGGTCAGGGAAAGCTAAAGGAAATCAGCTGAGCTGGAATTTGGCAGGATGGTGAACGGTGATGGTGGGTAAAGAGGCGAGTTCTGTCTGGTAGGTGACAGGGACTAGCATGTGATGGAAGCTTGTTACTTTTCAGTCTCTGTGAGACTCCTACAGAGATTCTGACATCTCTGACCTGTCATTCCCCTGGGGCATTAAAACTTTCTCTTTTAAGAATGGAAAATGTATTTTAATTACAAAATAATACTGCTTGTTATAAAAAAAAAAAAGTCAAGCATGTTAGAAGTGTGACCTCCTGTCCTCTTTCCGGACACTAAGCTAGGACAGCCCTACCCCATCAGTGTCCCCATGCCACAGGCATTTTCTGAGCACTGTGCCTGGGGCTGGTCATATAGAGTCAAATGAGAGTTGCTTCCTGCCATGAAAGAGCTCTCAAGTGGGCTACAGGAAGGAACTTGAAAACAAATAACTCCAAGAAAAATTGATGAGTATAATAATAGGGTACTTGGGAAGGCTTGAGCCTGGAGCTGCCAGTGGGGGCTCGGGGGGAGGAAGGCAAGGAGGCAGTCTTCCCAGAAGGGAAGTGGGCACAGGTCCTGCCCAGGTCCTCAGGGAGGCTGGGAGGTAGTGTACTTAGAGTTTCCTGCCAGCTGCTGGGGCCCAGCACAGGTGTGCAAGTGGTAGGGTGTGTGACCTCAGAGGCGGGTAAGTTGGGATCAGGTTGTGAAAGTGGAGAACTATTGAACATTTCTATGCCGGGAAATTGCCTCAGTTTTTGTTTTCCAAAGAGAGCCCTGGCCAGCAGAGTGGGGTGAGGCAGGAACCAGTGAGCACACCTGTGTCATAGTTGCAGAGCAGAGGGAACTGCTTAACAAGGGGCATAGTCAGTGAGGGTACAGAGAAAGGGCAGTGCTTAGGAAGTAGCGTCAGTAGGACATGCTGCTGGTGGATGTTTGATGGCGACAGAGGTGTATGGGTGGGAGCTAGAGTTTCTGGAGAAACCATTCCCTGGGTAGGAAATGCATCAGCAGAACGGGGCTTGCAAAGGCCCCAGGAGGTCAGTGTGCATTGGCGGTAGGGCAGGTTCTAGGGAGCCCTGGGGAAGGGAACTATAGGACTGGAGATGGAGTTCACTAGTTGGCAGCAAGGAGAGTGGCTGAAACTGCCCAGGTGTGTAGAATGAGAGAAGAGGCCCTAAGGTAACTACCAGCAGTGAACATCTGGAAAATAGAGATCTCACTGTAGAGATCACTCTGTAAACACCATCTCGGCCTTTAATACATACTCTAAAAAACAGTCAAAAAACCCCAACCCTTTTTAGTATCAAAATATTGTTACCTTGACTTAATTCCAGTTTCTGCAGCATGTGTCAGCGGATTCCCTTAGCAAGCCTGCTCATTCCCATCTCCAGGTTCCCAGCAACACATAGATGAGAGCATTTGGGAGTGAGTGTATCTGGGGAAGCAGGTTTTGCAGGATAGGCATTGGCTGTAGGCCTGGTCCATAAGGGATTCCTGAGTTCTCAGAGATTTTTGGAAATCAGAGGCTTTAAGTTAGAGCATGAATGATGGTATAATAGAAAAGTAGAATTCTCTTTAAAATCCATCCAAATCAAGATCTTGCCACAGCAGCAGAAGCTCTTGATTGTAAGGGAATTTGGTTATACATAGTCCTGCCTGCCTGTCAAGACTCCAGGGCTGATTGTGGTGTGTGTGTGTGTGTGTGTGTGTGTGTGTCTGTCTCTCTGACATGAACTCTCTTGCCTTACGAGGCCATGCACCTTGGCCTAGATGGGAACAGGTCACAGCCTGTTTTTTTCTTTCCCACCAGCACCACTGGGAGCCTCTGTGCAATTCAGAAGATGACTCGGGTGCGAGTGGTCGACAACAGCGCCCTGGGGAACACCCCATACCATCGCCCTCCTCGGTGCATCCACGTCTATAACAAGAATGGGGTGGGCAAGGTGGGTGACCGGATACTGCTGGCCATCAGGGGACAGAAGAAAAAGGCGCTCATTGTGGGACATCGCATGCCTGGCCCCCGAATGACCCCCAGGTTTGACTCTAACAATGTCGTCCTCATTGAGGACAATGGGAATCCTGTGGGGACCCGAATTAAAGTACCCATCCCCAGCAGCCTGCGCCAGAAGGAAGGAGAATATTCCAAGGTGCTGGCCATCGCTCAGAACTTTGTGTGAACAGAGCCCAGGCCTTTGGCCACAGGGGCCGTGTGGATAGAGCAGCTCCGAGAGCTGCACCTTGGCTGAGAGGAGCCACCTGCCATGTGGCTGCTGTGCGGGGTCACAGTGTTCCGTGAGAGAATAAACATTTTCATGTATGTTTTCTTCCTGTGCTTTCTGGGATATGGGCATGGGGTAAATGACACCCAAGCAGTTGAAAGGTGGCCAACCCGTCTGGCAACGTGTGATGACAGTCTTTGCATGGAACAGGCTATATGCAGGGGCTGGGCCCTTGCCTTTCTGGTTTGGATCCTATGATATGAGTTTATCCAGGATTGTCAGGCTCTGGGAAACTGGTATGAATCAAATGACAATTTATAATGTACCACAGAGTCTGTCATTTTCTAACTAAAAATGGTTTTGTTCTGTTTTCCATCCTTGTTTTAGAGGACCTGAGGTATGGAATGGTTGTAAAGATTACTGGGTTTTGGAATCGAGCAGTGGAACAGTGGCAGCCTTACTTTACTTGAGTATTTCTCAGAACACTCCTTTTTTTTTTTTTTTTTTAGAGAATTTTAAAATTTATTTTTTAGTTTTCGGTGGACACAACATCTTTGTTTGTATGTGGTGCTGAGGATCGAACCCGGGCCGCACGCATGCCAGGTGAGCGTGCTACCGCTTGAGCCACATCCCCAGCCCCCAGAACACTCCTTTTTGCCCAGTGGCATAGGGCCTCCTCCCAGGACTGGTGGAGAAATGGACAGGTCCTTCTATTTTGAGATGACATAATTTTGGACCTGTGCACATGATTCAGTGACAGTTTATCTTCTGATCACTTGTTGGCCTCGTTGGGAAGATTAGGAGCTCTCTTAGTGTCTTTAATGGAATCTTATCAGGTCATTTATAAATTCATTCATTTAAAATGCCTTGGGGGCTGGGCACAGTGGCACACAGCTCCGCTCGTGAGGCTGAGGCAGGAGGATCGTAAGTTCAAAGTCAGCCTCAGCAAAAATGAGGCATTAAGCAACTCAGTGAGGCTCTGTCTCTAAAGAAAATACAAAATAGGGCTGGAGATGTGGCTCAGTGGTCTAGTGCTCCTGAGTTCATTCCCTGGTATCAAAAAATAAAATACTTTGGGGTGCTGCTTAAATATTTCAGTGGCCTCTGAGAGGCAGAGTAGTGTAATGGTAAAGAACACAGCTCTGTAGCCATACTGCCTGGGTTTGAATCCCATCTCTACCACTTACACTTCATGACTTTGGGCAAATTATTTTACCTCTCTGCCTCAATTTCCTCACCTGTAAAATGGGGATATATTAAAGATGTATAATACTTGATAGGGTTGATGTGCCTGTAAGTGCTCAGAGCAGTACCTGGCAGTAACAAGCACTAACTGCTCTCAGCGATTTCCTGTCCTCAGGGAGCTTACAGCTTCGCAGGGGAGACCAAGCCAACATGAATTAACTCCCCAGATGGATGCAAAACACCAAGCCTATCAAGGGCCTGTGATAAAGGGTTAGATTCTCAGTGGGATTAGAGGCAGCTTCCCAAAGAAAGGGTTGCCTCAGCTAGAGTCTGAATAGGTGTTATGATGGAAGTCAAAATAGGGTTCCTAGAAGATTGGGAGTGTGTAGACCAGAAATGGACAAGAGGAGCCTTATTTTGTGTGTGTGTGTGTGTGAGTTGGGGGGAGGCAGTTATTAGGGATTAAGCCCAGGGGTGCTCACCGTGAGCTATATTTCCTAGTCCTTTTAAAAATTTTAATTTGTGATAGGGGCTCACTAAGTTGCTGAAGGTAACCTTGAACTTGGCTATCCTTCTGCCTCAGCCTCCTGAGCCCAGTGAGGAATTATTCTTAGTGATGTACATGCTCTAAATCTAGATGAGTGTATACCTTTGTAAATAATTAATGAGCTGTACCCTAGTGAAAATAAACAGATACGCATTAGCTAGGTGAGAGGAGGGGAAAGATTTCAGGCAGAGAGAAGAGCATGTGGGTGAACCCCTGGGGCAGGGACTGGGGTAAGTACCACAGACTGGAGGAAAAACCAGTGTGGCAGGAGCAGCTGAGCACGAGGCTGTGCGTTAGTCACCTTGGTGTTGCTGTAACCACTGCCTGAGATTGTCCACACCTGAAGGTTCACTTTGGCTTCCAGCAGATCATGGAGGAGCCGGGGCCGAGCGGAGCCGCTCACCTCAAGGCCCAGAAGTGAAAGAAAAGGAAGAGATGAGGGGCCACTGTTCCCTTCAGGGGCATGCCCAGAGTGGCCAGAAGACCTCCCACTAGGCCCCGTCACTTTGTGTGTGTGTGTGTGTGTGTGTGTGTGTGTGTGTGTGTGTGTGTGTGTGTGTAGTGCTGGGGGTGGCATCCAGGCTTTCCCATGCCAGCAGTGGCTCTACCACTGAGCCACGTCCCAGCCCACGGACGCACCTCTTCAAGTCTCCACCACTTCCAATAGCCCCATGGGTTGGGGACCAAGCTTCTAACCATTGGGGGACATTTAAGATCTAATAGGCCAGGAGAGGAGTGGGGCTCCTCTGGCTAGGGCCTCCTCGGCCTCAGGAAGGAGGGGCTATCCCAAGGGCCTGGGCTGCTCAGGAGGGAATTTCTCAAGCAGGGTTGGGGCATGGGAGGGGATAGCAGGTCAGGCCTTCTCTTCAGAGGGGCTGAGGGAGGCTAGAGTGGAAGAGCATGGCTTTGTGATAGACTGAGCAAGAGACTGAGGTGGACTAGGGTAGATTGGAAGCAAATGGACGCCTCGGGGAGAAACAGTTTGCCGGACTTGGCTAAGGCTAGCTAACGTGATAGGGAGGCCAAGGGTGGGTTGGAGGTTTCTGGCTTCCACACCTGGGTGGTTAGTCATGCTGAGCACTCAGCTAGGGTGCCCAAGGGCTGGGGAGGGCGAGCAATAGCAGGCTGGCTAGGTGTGTGTACCTTTGGTACATTCAAGAGATGTCAAGCAGGTAGCTGTATGTAAAATATCTTGAACATTGGAATAAAAGTAAATTTTGAAAACATCTGGGTGCATGCATATTCTTTGTGCTCCTCACAGTCCTCGGGCTTTGCAGGCATTGGTCCCATTTCTCGGGTGTACCCTGAGTTTCAGAGGTAACATGGTTTCTCAGGACCCCATTCCTAATAAGTGGTAAAGCTGATTTCAAAGCCAGATCCTGTGGCTTAAAATTCAGGGTCTGGCTGCAGCATCACTGGGTGTCCTTTTTGTAGTTGGTGAGTCCTTGCCGTCTTGTCTCGGTTCTGCAGGCTACTGTGCTGATTCTCTGGGTCCCACGGGTCCCTCTTGCAGCCCACTGCTGCCGGCTTTGCATCTTCCAGCTGAGGAACTCTCTGCTCCTCTCTGACTAAGCTTGACTCGAGGTGCTCTGGGGATTTGGAAACCTCAGGCCCCTCTCCATCTGGCCCTCCAGAAGGGCTGGCAGAGTCAGGGGCTGACAGGCTGCTGCAGTGGTGGCCGTAGCTGAGGAGGCTGGCGAGCATGGCCAGTGCAGGGTGTTTCTCTGGTCCTCAGTGGGCTCTCGACTTCTCTGCTGTCTGTGCCGTTCCCCAGGGGCAGTGGGAGGACGAGAGCCCGGGCCTGGCACACGGGAGCGGTGGAATTGTTACTCTCAGCCTGCTTTGGGGCTGGACCTTTCCTCGGGGACAGCTTGATCTCATCTGTCCTGCTGCTTCTGGCCACTTGCTTCCTGGGGTCAGGCCCTCTTCCTTCTGCCCTCAGTTATGTCTTCGCAGGGTGCTGACTGCTCTGCTGCACCCCCTGCCCTCCTCCCTGCTATTGAGCTCACCAGAGCCACCCAGATGACTCTGTCCTTGCTGTCCCCTTTGGTCCCCCATGGACCTCGGCACTCCTCCCAAGGTATTCTGCGCTGACCACTGGAAGGCTGCGGTTTCAACACCACCGGGTGGCCAGGCCTGTGACGCAGGCTCTCGCGGCACTCAGCTCAGAATAGCCCAGCCTTGCTGCTTTTCCAGCTGCCCTATCACTTTGCAAACTGGGATCTAATTTGCTGTCCGCCTCCCCCACCCCAGTCTCTCAGCCAGTGCTGCTTTCTTTGCCCATGAAATATTTATAATCACAGATTATGTTTCCTCTATGAGTATAAACTTGCTTTTGTTTTTTCCCCTTTTGTGCCCTCAAGAAGCCGCCCCTGACGGGCCAATCTCTCTGGACTAATGGACCTCACCGCAGTGTCTTTGCTGAAGTGTCTGACTCCACCCATGCTGTGACTCCTGCTAGGCCACTTCAGAAGAAATATGGTGGAAAGAGCTCTAGATTGACAGCTGTGGTTGGGAGACCGGGGTTCCAGTTGGGACCTTGCTGCCATCTAGCTGTGTGACTTTGGGCAGGGCACTGCCTCAGGGGGAAGTGGGAGCTTACTGCATGATGGCTTGGTGCTTGGGAGGCCTGAGGAGACCACGGTGACACTGACCACAGCCCTCACCCTAGCCTCCTTGAAGGGCGTGCCGTTGGCTGCAGATGGGGGCCTGGCCAAAGTGTGGCAGACGGTGCTCACCATCAACACTCCTGAGACCAACTGTGGCAGGGGGTGTCAGGCTGTGCTCTGAATGTCAGAAAGCTCCTTCCTGGAATCCCCACACCTAAGCTTGCTGTAAGGCAGGCAGCTGGCACCTTGCTCCCATGGGCAGGGTGAGGGGGACCCTCAGCAGGCAGCACGGCAGGGCACAGCTCCAGTAGGCAGGCTTCCCGCCAACTCGGCTTCCATCTCAGTCCCTTCCCTGTTCCCCTTTGCCTCTTGTTCTCTCAGGGTCCTCCTCAGAGGCCGAGAAAATTGCATGATACTGAAATCAAATGCTGAACTGAAATTCAACTCTCTCCTTGCAACTGCTGCATTCCTTTCCTCCTTCTAATTTTGTAATTCAATCTTTTTAAAAACATTGGGGGATTTTGTTTTATTCTTTCCCACCTGGAGGGTGCTTATGGAAATTCAGTTCTCAGCATTTTAGATACTTTCTTGCTAAATTGTTTTGCCAAATATTAATAATTTTCCAAATTATTTCGGCATCAAGCCAGTGGTTCCCAGATTTCCCAACAGTGATAACCTGTTGCCATTGGCTTGATATTATGACAGGCTGTCCCCTAAGACTTACCAGAGTCATTTAAAAAAAATAAACTTATTTTGA